CCAAGCTGTGGATCTTGAAGTCCTTCTCTTTAAGGGCACCTTTCAGGGTTCGGATTTCGCTCTTGAGTTCGCCGACTGAGGCTTCTTGGATTTCCCCGAGGGCGTTTTCTTGGGCTCCGTTCATGTGGTGGGATTCGGTTTCCTGGAACCCCTACGAAAAAAAAGGGCACATCTATCACCACAAGATCCAACAATAATATTCCACATTTCACAAAACAAAAATGAAAAAAAGATGCTGTTGAAAGGAACTAATTTTTCAAATAGTGGCCCAAAATGCGAGCTTCAATCCGTCTTTCTTCAATCTTTCAGGACCAATAATTTCAAAACCATTCCTTCAAACAATTCATGCACAAGAATGAACGGAAAAGTCTAAAACTTTTCTAAAATATTTCGAAAATCATCCAGAGGGTGCAATAGAGTCTCAGCAGAGTGAGGATTTGCAATTCATAGACTGAGTCTCTGACTTGGTACATAACAATGACGATTTATTCCGATTTTACTTTGTCGAGATTTTACTGTGCAAGAAAGGGATCTTCACCTTTCGAAGTATTCCAATAGACGAGGCTTCTTTCATGGGAAGTGAGTCGACTGACATGGACATGACATCTCCACTCTGCAGAAAAACAGAAGCGATGAAAATTGCAAATTCAGTAGGAAAAAAAAAATGAAGAGAACCTTTTTCGCAGCCGGAGCAGAGCCAGTCCTGTCTCCCCACAGTTTCTGAATCTCATGAAACCTCGTTGCCCCAGGGGACAGAATCCCTCCTTGTTTATCCTGCTGAACTTGTCCGTGTTGAGACAAATCCGACAACGTCACGCTTCCGCTTTGCACCAGCTCTTGTTCCTGAGCCTAACACACAAAATAATTACAATCATTTCACATAGCAATTAAAAAATTGAATAAATAAATAAATAAACCCAAGCATCCACACAAAAAGCCGACCAGCAGCAACAGAAAAAAAAAGCCCATGTGCCAAAAGCCCCCCGAAGTCCACTCACCCATTTGATTTTACGTTTGATTCTTTGCCGCTGATGTGTGCGATGCAAAGCGTCCACAAAAAGTAAAAGCAGCATGTTAAAAAAAAATATGAATGAAGAAAAGAAAAGCCATAAAGCTGGGTTAGCAAACACGTCCATCTCCCAGAGTGAAAAATGAAAAATTTGACAAGGTATTAAACGTTCATCAAAATTCGTCCTGCTAAAAAAAAAAAAACATTTGCAACATTTATCCAAACATGCAATGTAAAACACATCCATGCTTCCATATACATGTATAGAGATGCTGGCATGCGGGAAAAACAATTGTTTCCCTTTTCAGACAATATTAGACGCTTCTTTTTTTTTTTGGCACGCCGATTTTTTTTTTTTTCTCTGGAGAATTTTCCTTACCATGTCGGCTGAGTAACTGATTGGCAAATGCGGCTCACTGCGACACAAACTGGATCGACGGAAAATCCGCGTGTCTTCGGTGTCGCTGCTCGTCCGGCTCGAGTCTCCGTCGACAATCGACGTTCTGTCACTCGGTGACGCCTTTTTTTAGTCATCCATTCATAATCAACAAATTAATGCAGTGCAAAATCAAAAGAACACAAAACAAACGCACGAATCGTCAAAAAAAATGTAGAAGTAGAGTTGAACCTCAAAACTCGTACCATTCCCAAGTCGAATTCTTTTCAAGTCTCCGCCAGAAATCCCCTAGAAGCAATTCATTACATACTTCCTTAACTGGAAGGAATTTCTTCCTCAAACCTCCATAACTGGGATTTTCCGGAAACCGTTTGACCATCATTTTATTGACACAGGCAAGAGAAAAGCAATAAAAATGTAATTTAGATGCTTTTTGAAAGGAAGAAATCGGTCAAGTGAACCCATGTTTTCAACTTCACATCTAAGAAGCAATTCAAGACCCAGAATATCAAAGATTAAAATTTCCTTTAATTCTTATTTCTTTTCCCCCCTCCCAAAAAATGTTTGTTTTTTCCTTAACTTGGATTTTTTTCCTTTCTGGCCCATCGAAGTTCGAGTTAAAGAGGTTCAACTGTAAAAAAAAACGAAGTCAGTCAAATGTCCAAACCAAAAATACCGAAACCTCAGCAGCAGTTCAGTCAGTAATGATGCGTGAAAACAAAAATAAAAGAAAAATGAGTCGTCAGTGTTTGAGTTTGTGTGAGTGACACCTCGTCAGCGAACCCAGGGTGAGATTGCAGTTTGCGAAAGAGATAAATTCGCGCAGCCGCCGGGTTTTCAGCAAGGATTATTCGCGTGAGCAGATCGACCGGCCAGTGAAAGTTTTCGAGTGTGAATCCCATTCAATGAAGTGTAATGAATCCTTCATTGAGGAAATTGAAAAAAAAAATGCTGATATGAGGATCCAGAAAGCCAGAAAAAAAGGGCAAAGGGGACGCCACTATTTTTTTCAGTCAACACTCTAAGAAGTGAAAACTGCAAACATTTTGAAGTTATTTGCATCACTAGCGTTATTTAGTTGAAAGCCTGAAGAATTCATGAACCAGAAAAGCAGAAAAACTCAATAAATTATAAATTTGAATTTCCCGTCAATGCCGGAAAAACTAAAAAAATTTCAATTTCCAAGGGAACAAGAATTTTGAAGAACACCAATCAACACCATGAGCTTTTACAAGAGATAATTCCCCACCCTCCTCAAAAATGTGAAAAATTGTACCGTTCTTAGGATAATAATAAAAATGGCATCAAATTAATTTACACCGTACTTGAAAAAAGAAACTGCGAATGTTTCTAATTTTACGCATCGCAAAATTATAAATATATCGCTCATAACATCAAAGCTTCAATTTTTATCTAATGCCTTGGAGAGTTTCTTAAAACTTGCATTCAGCACAATTGAAATAAATTTTCTTGATGGGAGAGAAAAATTAGTTTTCCAAAGATAAATGGATTGAAAGCCCACAAAATGTACTGTGTGAATTACCTCATCTAGCGCGAGTCTCATCATATGATTGGAAAAATTCAATTCTCCCAGGAAAATTAACCAATTCCGTCAGTTTCGAGAAACCCCAAAAAATTTTCAAATTTCATCAGCAGAAGAGAATGAAAAAACCGTGTTCCCCATGAATCCTTCAAAATCCATGAACCACAGAATTTTAAAAACTCTCCACGAGGATTACAAGAAAAATAAAACGGGAAAAACAAGTTTGAAGATACTTCGAGGAGGAATTCTGTTCGCTGATTTACCGAGAAAGAGGAATGACGCTGCAAAGCAGCGATGATTTCGCACACAATCGGGCCCCTGGGCGGCGCCGACCGCCGGCGCCACGAAACACTCTGACTGCGACGCGGCGCCTGTCGCAGCGTGCCACCGCCAGATGTCACCCCACCGCGACGCACGTCTTCCAGACTACACGCAAACTTCCGTCCTTCGTCCTCGTCTTCAGATGTCGTCGGCGTCGCCGTCGACGTCCCGGAGTCCACCCCGTGACGCTTCGGGTCATAGTAAGTTCAAGTGAGCCAGAGTGAAAAACGTCCGATTCGATGCCTCATCAAACATTTTTAGTCCAGTTAAAAAATTGATTCAGAAATTGTTGACAAACTTCCAACAACAAAAGCTTATTGACAGAATAAAGTATTTTTTCATCCAGTGAGTTACATAACAGATGAAAAAGTGTATGAATAATGTTAATCAATTCTTCATCTTTTTATCATTAGAGACTTCTATTTTTATCTGCAGCCTTTTATATAAGTTTTTACCAAGGGTTATTCGAAGAAACAAGAAACTGGTGTTTCCTGGAATATCCCTAATATCTTTCTCAACACTTTTTTTCCGTTCACTTTCGGAAATTTCCAACAGAAATGAAGAATAAAAATCTTTGACAAACCATCGAACGACATCTAGCTACAAATTCATAATTATTTTCTGAGGCAAATTTCCGAGGAATGACGATTTTGTGTTTCGATAATTGAACCTCATCGAAACGTTCGTTCTTCCGGCTCACTTGAAAACGATGACACGGTCCTCACCTGTTGTGGACGTCCATCCATGTCCTTGGCAAGCTTGGGACACGGAGAATTATCCGAAGACACCGGAGTGACGGACCGACGCCTGGGCGTCACCGATGGAGGCGACGCTCCATTCCGTTTCGCAGGCTTCGGCGTAGATGTCACTTCTAACCTCTCGGGTCTCGAAGGCGAATTAGGTGTGGATTCCATTCCACACTTGGCACTTCTCGTCGTCGTCAACGAGTCCATATTTTCGCTTCCATTCACTGAAGCGTCTAAACGTTCACATTTCTTCTCCGACGATGCGTCAAAGCTAGATGACGCGACGATTGTCTTTGGCGATGAATTTGAAATAGATGTCACTTCCATGCTGTCGCAGTGATTCCCGTTTCTTAGCGTCGCACAAGTGCGTTCTTCGAGTTCGGCGATCGAGGGTTTCCCGGGCGTTCTACACTGTTGGCGTGCCAGTGAACAAAACGTAAACGAATACAAAAACCAAAGCGAAACTAAAACATATACCTAATGTAATTTGCCTTTGCACGAGACAAGACACACTTCAAAGCATCTACTAACGAACCAGACGATGCGACAGTGTTTCGATGTGCTTCTGATCTTGTATCTGTCATTTTTCTTCCACCACGCAGTTTATGCAAGGACACAATCAAGAAATTTTTGTCTGTGAGGTTTCTAGTAATTAAAATCTTTCGTTCAGCAAAATTTAAGAAGAATTGAAACTCACTAATTTTATATTTCTTGGAGTCTTTCCAATTCAACACCCAGAAATCTAGGAGAGTTTTATTCTTCATCACGCAGCTGTCACCTGAATTATACACTTTTTTCGGATAGTTCGGATAAGATCACTTAAATTCGCATCAGGAAAGATTAAATTCACTCAGAGTAATTAATTTATATCGTTCTTAGCATTGATTCAGATGATATTCGTTAAACATTTTATAAAACAATTAAGTTTGGGATAAGAAGTGGAAAGGACCTTTTTCCATTGAAATTTTCAAGAGAAAATATAATTGACGCCCACAACAACTAAGAAATCCTCTTGTTTGCAAAATTCTACAGAACACAGCAATCTTCAACAAATAAAATGCATTAATCAGGCGATATTACGGGATTTTTTTCTTCAAATTACAAAAAATACTTCTAAGAAAGCCACGACGTCAAGTTTGGAAAAATTTCAAAAACATTTTTAATTTCAGAAAAATCCGTTTTTGATTCTGAATAAAATAAGGACAACTGTTGTGAGATTGTCTCTTTCTGTATGCAGTTTCCAGCAACCCAAAAATACTGATCTACAAGCGTGTGTCTTTCCAAAAACTCACAATGACCAACGGTCTCAAAATGTCGCCGGCAAGCAAAATCCTCCCTCCATCCAACAAACGTGCGAATTCTCGAGATAAAAAAAGCAAATTCTATTTGATCCAGAATATCTCCGCCAAAAAATATCCCGTATTCTACGTTCAAAGCCTCCGTTAGCAGTGTACACAACAAATTCTGCTCAAGTTTCTCAGGCGAGAAGTGGAAAAGGAATAAGTTTACGAACATCGTTTACGGACGCCTCTCGCAGAACAATCTTCGGAATCCTGCTCTCATCGGTATCTGATTCGTCTGAATTCTATTTCGAAATGAAAACACGAGACGTGAAAACATTCCGGGTTCATTCCAACCATTAAAAAAAAAACTCTCGCATGCTCACTCTACCAACCTTTCAAAACTCTCGTTTATTAAAAAAAAAATACAGAGACAATCGCAACTTTACTCGAAAGAAAATTTTCAATGAATGAAAAAAATGAAAGTACTCACGTCCAATGACCTGTAGTCAGGATGAGTTTCTTGGGAAATGAAAAGGAATTTCCGTTCATTGTTGAGATCGGAAGTGATTAGCTTCTTCTCACTGGGCTTGTAAACGACCGGCTTGTTTGTCGGCATCTTCCATCCTAAAACAAAAATATTAACATAACCTTTCAAGAAAAAAAAAATTCTCGGGCGATATAAAACACGAAAGCATCATGGCACTGCAGCAATTCACACGACAAAACAACAATATTAACAATAACCAAAATTACAATATTTAACAGTAACAAAAAAACACTTAAATTATAATCAAATATTAAAGAATATTTTCTGAGGTTCATAGGAAAATGTCAACACGTGAGTCTTTCTTTAGAAAACTAAATTCAGTATAAGGAAAATAGGATTTTCTAGTATTTCGCAGAATTGCGATGCAACTATAAAAATAGCGTGTTACGAAAGGCATCGCTTGAGCTAATAAATCCCTCCAAATTTGTCACTTTTACGCGTATTTTTTTTTACAATTCGCAGTTTGAATCCCAATTAATTGACCCTTTAACCTCAAAACCACTGATTCTTCAGACTGGCCAAAAACTCTGACCAGATTTTTGCAGCTGTTGACCACATGACAACCACCAAAACTTTCCCGTTCGACTTTCGTCCCCATGAACAAATTTTTCGAAGAAATGGTGATTAACGGACTCCCAGACCAATAATATCGCGAGTATTTCGGGAAACTGTGCCCATGAAAAAATAACAATAATGTTTCATTCAAATGGCTGGAATGAATCTTTAATATAAATTAATGTAAAAATTTTTTTTAGCGTCTGGGAAAGGAAATTCAGACGAGGTTTTTTCAGGAAAAATCCCATTGCGATACAATCCCTAATTATCGAATAGATTGATGCGGCGAAAGTTTAATTTCTCACGTACCCAAAACTTGCGGTTGTCTAGAACTCTAATATGATGCCGAAATTTTCCCACCGTCTTCAATAATTACCTACATTCCTTTGACACAAATTCAATAATTAAATATTCATACTCTTCGAAAAATAAAACTTTGTTGTGAGACACGAATTACCCATCATAAATTGTAAATTTTTTTCATTAAACTAGGCACTACGATACAGTGGAAAATTCTTTATTGTCATGTTCAGGCAAACAGCTACCGAAATAAAATTTATTCGGAAGAGAGGTTTTTTTCATCTTCAAATCTGTGCTGACGGATTACTATAATCTGATACGATTTTAATCGAAGTTATTTATTTTTTAGTATGTTTTGTAATTTCAAGTTTGAAAGGATTCAACAGCATAAGCCCGTGTCGTCAATTCTGTAACTCAGAATAAAACCAGACATTTTTTAATGTCTTCCTCATAACACGCTTGTTTAAAGCTTCAAAACCTGTACAACTTTTCAGCATGTAGTTACACAAGCAAAATTGACAAAAAATACAATTTTCAGGTACAAATTTCCCCCAAAATTATTTACCAGATTTCAAAGAAATGAGCAACGGAGACGCGTTTTTGCCCTCGATCCATTCGTTCGCAGTCAACGTTGCAGTGGGTCCCGGAGTCTCCGGGTACAAGTCATCGTGAAAGTAACTCGCGTCAGTTTTCCTGGGTACAATCATGGAAATGGGTTCCACTAGACCCCGAGATGCATGCAGTTTGTAAAAGCGCATGATTTCACACGCTGCGGGATCCACGCCTCTCTACCCGTAGTGAGGCTCCGGGGCAACGCCTATTGGTCTATTCATGACCAAGTTCATTTTGGTCATGCCCAGGTAAAGCTGCTAAAGCATCATAGCTTACAAAGGTAGTGGGACTCCCTCTTTTGTAATGTCCTCACTCATAATCAAAAACATGGGTTACATCACTATGAGCCTCAAACATATTATACAGTACTGTACTGTATTTTTATCGCCCCAAATCTAGCAGCGACAAGCGATTCAAGCGACATCTATTTCAGGTTCGATAAAGCGAAGTTGATGAATGCGGAGCGTCAAGTAAGAGGTAGTGCGTAATCTGAGCGAGACGACTTTTCTCATCCAAGCTGTGATTTCAATGATTTTTCGAGAAAAAAAAGGTTAAAATTCATTATTCATCCATCTATACTCACTGTGATTATTTTCTTTAGATACCTAGACAGTGAATCATTTTCGATAGGCCGGAAGGAGTCAAATGAATGACTGTTGCTGAGAAGCAGCAAATGAAGATTTTAAATCAAATAAACCAGTCATTCAAGCAATCATAATGTACTGGTCGAAAGTCTTCTTCAGTGGAACGACACTCGAATTTTTACTTCCGATCAACATAAAAAAAAAATGTCAACTGGTGAGATTTCATTTAGAATGAAAAGGTCGCTCTATGTTCTAAGCTCACAGCCGCAGCATCTTGCCTTTATACTGTGGTCTCCTACTCAGCTACAGAAGCTAAGCTTCGCCTAAACTGTTCAGCAAGAGAACGGTTTAGGCCAATTGGCGATCCGAATAGCGAGAGAATCCCGTGGTTGCCAATCGTCCCGACTGTCCGAGATAAACCTGAAACGAGCGAAAGCTAGGTAGCACTGTGAAGGGAAGGACATTTGTTCTTCGTTTTTTAAATTTTAAACTAATTTTCAACTTTAAATTATTAAGCCGGCTAATTCTTGAAAAGGTCAGAAAAGTTCGACGACGAAAATTCACTTCAGAAAGCTTCAATATCAAATCATAACAATGGAACATGTTTATTATTTTTTTTATTTTTTTGAAGTAAAAAAAAGCTTTCGAATTTTAATCAATTATATTCTTTTATATCGCAAAAATCCAGAATGCGTATTTTTCTTTTGCTGTGTGAATAATTATTGGTTCATGGGAAATCTACTTTTTCTGATGATGACGATACAGTAATAAGTCTGTCAAAAATGAAAGTTTTCGAATTTTTCCAGAGATTATTCTTTCTCACTGAGCATCTGGAAGATGGTCAAGCGACGACTTCCTGTTTTATTATTTAAAAAAAATCTAAATATCCTTCGTAAATCGACAGATTTTTTTTTCTTAAATAAAATTTAATCCCAAAATGATCAGCATAACTTTCCTCGCAATCGCAGCTCTTCTGCATGCAAAGAATGTCCAAAGAATAAATGATCAAACCCAACCCCTTTGGCCTCCATCACAATACGTGAACAGAATAAAGTAACAAACTCAGATTTTCCCCCCACTTTCTTTTTTTTCTCTCTCATTTATAGCAAGAAAAGCGGGACAAACGCTTTTTTTCCCCCTCAACAAGATTGACATGGCAATCGCTCTTCCTGCTGCCTGGGAAATCAATCCTTCACCTTCCATCTCCACTGACACTCATCACCCTTTCTCTTACTCACTTAGAAATTTAAAAAAGAAATATAATAATAATCCATCAACATTCAGAGGAACAAAAACAGCAGATAAAAACTGTATACTGTTTGAAGACGACGAAAATTTCAGTTATGAAGTTCTCCGGATTTTTGGCAGGTCTAAACTTACTTCACTTAAAATGCTTTTAATACGACATTGTTTAAGGCGAGTTCATTGACCTAGAAGCTCTCGAAAGCTTAAAAAAACGCTCATAAAAAAGAACTTAAAAGGGCGCTTTCTGTTGGAAATTTAAATTCCCCTCAAGGATAAATTTGCTTTTTTTATATTACAAGGATTCACAGAGTGTGATGACTTTTACGACGATCAACGATGAAATAGCTCATGCAGTGAGACAAATCGAGGATGAAAAATTTAATTCAGCGAAATAAATGTCAATAATTTAAATTGCAGTATTATTTCGAGGAGTAAATGAAGACTGCTTCCGCTGAAAAATAATCGTTGTTCCAGAACCAATCAGCCTTTTTTTTAACGAATCATGGACAGCTAAATCTTGATGAACATCTATAATCGTTTGCAATTTTCAAAATGCCAAATTTTTTTGTCTGAGAACTCGTGACATTCGTTATAGAAAGATAAAATTTTATTGAACAGCGGCGTCTTTGGAAGAAAAACAAAAAATACTGCAATTTTTTCCCTTTCTTTAAACAAAGAAGTGCACATACAATTCCTTGTCGGAGATAGGGAGGATTATACAGTATTTTCAATAAGACGGAAAATTAAAGAATATCGCAAGTAGGCCCCCCCCCCCGTACCTTTCCAGTAAAAAAAATAATTGGAAATGGCAAAACCAATTTTCCAGAGGCAACGCATCCTTGTAATTCCGACATTCATTTCACGAAGAAACCTGTACTTTTTCATCTGTCATCCAACGCACGAAGCGAAAGCAGATGTGCTGTAATACCGTACAGTACGGTACAGCAGTACAGTATCTCATCCACGCATCGTCCTTTTGCAATAATGCGCACAAAGACAGCGCGTACTGCATATAAATCACCCCTTTCGCCAGAATTATTCAAAAATTGGATGAAAATAGCCCGCGACATGTGCTATGCAATCATGGAGTTCACTGCACCAGCAGAAAATGAGAGCTCCCCGCTTTCGGTGCGGGTACTTCTTGCCACATTGCGAACGCGATTGGAGAAATGTTTCCCGTCACGAAAAGGTTTCATTGATCAACGACCATCACAATTTAAGTCAGGTATGCATGAAAACATTCCTCAAACAGAATCAGAAAAAGTTTTTCCCATGCCGGGAATTGAACCCGGGCCTTCTGGGTGAAAGCCAGATATCCTAGCCACTAGACCACATGGGAGATGTGATAGATGCGGCGCCCGTTCGCACTATCTGAACTATGGACATACTGGTGTCTGTATACAGGTTCTACAGGAAGTTCAGATACACAGTGAACTGGACCATGAATGCTTGACCCAATAATGAACCCATAAGTAATCTCATGATTGCGGGGTACCAAATTCCTCGACTTTGGCTAAATTTACCAGGATTTCTTTATTCCATTCAAGTGCACACTGACATAAACAAGCTGAAGGTTAGAAAAAGAGTTAATTTCAGTACAGAATTGTCAAAGTATGCTTGTCCACTAGTAAAATAAAACTATAAAACTAATTTAACTATAAACTCGATATACCACTTAACAAATGCGAAGATCTTAAATTCGCTGAATATATATCCTTTCGTAGTATCAAATATCCCACAAAAACGCATGGATGCGAATCACTACAGAACCAGTTGCCAAAAATTTGAAAATTTCGCAAAAGTTATTCCCGTGCCGGGAATTGAACCCGGGCCTCCTGGGTGAGAGCCAGGTATCCTAGCCACTAGACAACACGGGATTGCTATTCCTTCACGTCCCACAAAACCTTGTTTGACTTCCAGAAATCTTCAACCAGGGCCATACCATTTTTGCTGAACTTCACCACCACATCATGCTCCAAAATGCGGGTTCACCTTATTCTAGAGGTATTCCTGCATAGGCCACACTGCCATGACCAATGTGGCTAATATTCAGGATTATAAATCTGGTTTGGGTTTACTTGCATTTAAATACCCAGTAAAAGAAACCTTCATGTTCAAAATTTGTGAAATAGCTCTATTCCGCCTACAACACCGTGAATTACTGAAAAATAGAAAGGAAGAACAACCTGCAGGAGACGTAGACACAACCCTGGTTCAATCAATTATTTCCCCATGCCTATATACTGTACAGTACTCTACTGTACATATATATGTACGTGTTATATTGTTAATTCGAAAATCTCGCATAAAATCGAAGTAAAAGAAGCACAAGAAAGCATAACCTCATGATAACAGCAGATTCAATCAAGTAAAATTAAATGATATCCATTAAAAAAGTTTAAAAGGGTGCCAAAAGCATTCCCGTGCCGGGAATTGAACCCGGGCCTCCTGGGTGAGAGCCAGGTATCCTAGCCACTAGACCACACGGGACACATGAACTCCTGCTCACTTTACCAAGCTACAGCAATTTCATGGCTTCGTTTGAAGCAGTCCTAATTTTTGCTTCGGGTTATGATGCATTTCATAACTGACCATTCCTTAGAAGTTACGAAACGCAGAACCTTCGCTGAAATAACGCACTGCAGTTCTATTCTAATCGAAGAAATAAAGAGCATACCTGAATCAACTTCCCGCTTCTAGGATCAATGATCCTCAGCTTTTTATCCTTGCAAGTGGTCGCCAATCTCGATCCATCTCGGTTGAATGAGAGTGAATATACGGAATCCGGATGCATGTCCAAAACCCGAATTGCGTTTCCCTGCACAAAGACAACAAACGGTCTCTCAACCTATTTTCTCCATAGCATTTCTTACAGTTATTTGAAAAAATTTTAGATTTAATAATCACTGAACTTCTTATAGTTAAGCATCGAAGCTTAAAATCAAATCAGAATTATAATATAATCCTAAAATCGCGCGAAAAAACCCTTTCACCCCTATTCCATCCAGGGACAGATGGTATTGATCAAACAAACCATCAAATAGAATAAAAGTCAATCCACAGTAGCTTAACCCCATGAGCATTTACTGAATAATCTCCGGCAGATCGCAGAACACATTCTGTTGACCCAAAAAGTTTTGAAAACAATATGAAAAAACACTTTGCGATAATCTATTGATCTGAGTCTATACCCGTAGAAAAAGCCGGTTCGATGATTTGCAGTCTACGATGATTTTGCGCAATTTTCCCACAAACAACAAGCTATGCATTCCCCCAGTTGTTCAATTGGACAGGGCTCATCCATGACTTTGAAAATGTTGTTCGTGCATCCAAAATGAGTACAATTCTT